GGTAAGTCTGTGTCTAGGTTTGCAAGAAACTGCCATGCTCTCTCCCAAGGTGACCGTAGCAGTCACGGTGAGAATTCCTGTCGCTCCCCAGCCTCCCCCGCGTCGGTGTTGTGGTCTGGGTTTTGCCTGTTCTAATCTGCTTGCTGTGATACTTCACTGTTTCAACTTGCAGCCCCCTAGTGACAGTGTTGAGTGTCTTTCCATGTGCTCATTTGCCATCTGTGCGTCTGCTTTGTGAGCAGCCTGTCAAGCTCTTCTGGCCATTTTTGCTCAGGTTTGCTTATTGAGTTTTAGGAGTTGACCTTAGGTTTTGGGGAACAGTCCTCTCTCAGAGATGTGTGTTGCAGATACCTTCTCGCAGCTTATGTCTTGTCTTCTCATTCTCTTTTTTTAGTTAAGAGATTATTTTTACCTGCTACACTTTATTTTTTCCTTTTGGACTGTAGAAAGATACATTTCGCTCAGTTACCCGTGTGTGAGTGTTCGTCCACATGCACGCACCCCTCTGTGTTAGTCTGTTCTGTGCTGCAGTGCAGTAACAATGCCCGAGACCGGCTAACCTGTAAAGAGCAGAAGTCTCCTTCTCACGTTTGGAGGCTGAGCAGCCTCACGATCAGCAGGCTGGCGTGTGTGCTGTCTGGGAGGCAGCAGCGCTGTGTCCTCACGGGAAGGAGCCAAGCCCTTCAGTGGGCACCTGCACCATTCACGAGAGAGAAACCCTCAAACCCTCGTGGCCACGTCACCTCTTAAAGGACCACATCTTTTTTTTTTTTTAATTTATTTGTTTCTTTGAAAGGCAGACTTACAGAGAGGGAGAGAGAGAGAGAGGTCTTCCATCTGCTGGTTCACTCCCCAAATAGCTGTAATGGCTGGGGCTGAGTGAGGCAGAAGCCAGGAACCTGGAACTGCATCCCGGTCTCCCAAATGGATGGCAGGGGCCCAACTACTTGGGCCATCTGCTGCTGCTTTCCCAAGTACAAGAGCAGAGAGCTGGATTGCAGTGGAGCAGCCAGGACTCATATGGGATGTAGGAGGCCGCCGCTTAACCTGCTGTGCCACAGCACCAGCCGTAAAGGCCTGCCTCTTAGTGCTGTCGTGTTGGCCATGCCTGCACATTGGAGGGGACACAGCCAAACTCTAGCAGTCCCGTTTTTTTGGAGTTTCTACAATATAACGTCTAGTTTGGCTGTTTAAAACCTACTTCCCTAATTCATTTTGATTATCAATTTAAATCTTGTCGTTGTAAGTTTTATTTCTAAGTTCATCTTGCTTCCTCTTTTTCCTACTACATCAACTCTTTCTTTTCTCATTCATTCTGATAGAAATGTATACCTATTTCAAAATATAAATAATTCAGTTTATTTAATATGTCTTTAGTCAGTTTTTTTTTCCTCCCATCTTTTCATTTTTACTAATTCAGCTCAGAACAGTCCACTGACTGCATGTCATGTTGAGGCACTGTCTAGGTGACAGACTCAGGATGCAAGTGAGGAAAAATCACAAGCAGACTTTCACAACTCCCATATAACTGTGAACTTGGCTTGATTTTCACACTTTCTCTTCTCTGATCACCTGCCTGTATACAGTGATCAGTAATAACTTTAACATTTTCAAATCTCTATCTTTTGGTGTCACTAAAATGATGTAAATAATGTATTGTTTGTTTCAGCCACATTCTTGATATTACCACTAAAATTACACTAACTGTAATATTTTGCTGTCCCATTCCAGTGTTAAATGAAATTTTCTCTGCAGCTTGTAAACTTACTTACTCTTTCAGAAAAATCGCAAAATGTGAAAAGTTTATGGAAATATTTGTAAATATTGTAAGAACAATTAGGGAAGAGAAAGGGCATCAAAATTGGAGAAAATGAAAATATCCATGTTTATAGATTTGATGATTTGGTACTTGGAAAAGACTAAACACTCCACCAAAAAGTTCCTGGAACTGATGAACCAATTCAGTAAAGTTGCAGGATATAAAATCAATATACAAAAAAACTAGCATTTTTATACATCAATAATGAGATTGCCGAAAGAGAAATCTGATTTACAGTAGCTACGGAAATTTAAACATTTAGGAATAAATTTAACCAAAGAAGTGAAAGATCACTACTATGAAAATTATGGAAGACTATTGAAAGAAATCATCAAGGACACAAAAAATTTGGAAAGATTCAAAGAGTCCAAGTTCATGGATTAGGACCAATATAGTATACTTCCTAAAGCAACCTGCAGATTCAGTGTACTCCCTGTCACATGCCAGTTACATTCTTTGCAGAATTAGTAAACACAATCCTAGAACACATATAGAACCACAAAAGACCCAGAATAGCTACAGCAATCCTGAGCAGAAAACATTAAGCTGGAGGCACACGGTACCTGATTTCAGAGCATACTGTAAAGCTATTTTAACTAAATAGCATGATACTGGCATAAAAATAGCTACATAGACCAACGGAACACAAAAGAAATATCCATGAAATACAGCCAGTGGACTTTTGACAAAGGTGCCAAGAACTTATATTGGAGAAAGGATGTCTTTTCAATCAGTGGTGCTGGCAAAACTGGACATACATCTGTAGAAGACAGAAATTCGGTCCCTACCCCTTGCCATATATAAAAATCAACAAGATAGACCTAAGACCTGAAATTATGACATTTCTAGAAAAAAAAATTGGGAGTACACTTTAAGACTGCTACAGGCAGTGATTTCTTGGACAAGATTCCCAAAGCGTAGGCAACAAATGCAAATCTAGACAAATGTGGTTATTTCAAACTTAGAAGCTTCGGCACAGTGAAGGAAACAGCAGAGAGAAGAGGTATCTAACAGAATGGGGAACTATGTTTGCTAGTTATCTGGCAATGCAGAATAGATCAGGAACTCAAACAACTCTAACAGAAAAGCCAGTCCAGTTAAGAAATGGACAAAGGGCCTGAATAGAGAGTTCTCAAAAGAATAAATACAGATGGCCAGTAAATGTATGAAAAACATGCTATCGCTAGCCCTCAGGGAAATGTGAATGAAATCCACAGTGAGTATCACCTTACCCCTGTCAGATGGATTTTATTAAAAAGACAGAAAGTAACAAATGCTGGTGAGTATATAGAAGTATAAATTAGAACAGTCACTGTGGAAAACAGATTTCTTAAAAAGCTGGAACTTGAACTGCCACCTGATCCGTCAGTCCCACTGCTGGGTAGATGCCCAGCAGACATGAAATCATTATAGCGAAGAGATACCTGCTCCGCCTTGCTTGTTGTAGTGCTGCTGACAGCATCCAAGGTACGAAATCAACCAAGGTCTCCATCAGAGGCATGGTTAAATAAAATGTAGTATGTAAATACGATGTCACAAAAACATGGAATCCTGCCATTCACAGCACAGTGGATGGAACCGGAGGACATCATGTTCAGTGAAACAAGCCAGACACAGAAAGACAAACCATGTGTTCTCTTTCATATGGAAGCTTTAAAAAATGACAACAAAAAAAACCTCTGTCTGAACACACAATGGTGATTACCAGAGGCTGGGAGGGAGAGAGGAGAAGAAGTTTGGATTAAAAAAGGAGGGGCTGGGTGGGATTCATTAGTTGTGACCCATATACTAATACGAAATGTTAATAAAGGGAGCTGATGCGGTTTGTTAATTTTGACAGATATACCAATTTAATATGTTGATGGGGCCGGCGCTATGGCATAGTATGTTAAGCCTCTGCCTATAGCGCTAGCATCCCATCTAGGCACTGGTTTGAGTCCTGGCTGCTCCTCTTCCGATCTAGCTCCCTAGTAATGTGCCTGGGAAAACAGAAGTGCATAGCCTAAGTCCTTGGGCTCCTGCACTCATGTGGGAGACCTGGAAGAAGCTTCTAGCTCCTGTCTTCAGATTGGCCCAGCTCTGGTCATTGTGGCCATTTGAGGAGTGAATCAGCAGATGGAAGACTTCTCTGTCTCTCCCTTTCTTTGTCTATAATTCTGCCTCTCAAATAGATTTAAAAAATCTTTTTAAAAAAAGAAGAGATTCTAAAAATAGGGGAAGTTGGTGTGGAATAAATGGGAACTCTTTCAACTGCACAATTTCTTTATAAATTTAAAACTGTTATGAAATAGTTCATTTCTTAGGAAAAGGAAAAATGGATTTAAAAAGTAAGTTTATTTTGGTGCAGAAAATTTTGAAATCCATGTACAGTTTTTTTCATTATTTGCATTTTCTGTGAACGTGTTGAAGACCCTTGCAATCTAACAGGTATTAATCCTGGTGGCCCTTGTTCTCCTTTGCATGTGAAAGCTTCTTAGGGTCAGGATCCTACCAGGTGGCTTTGCAGTCACCCCAGTGCTGCAGCACCAGGGATGGGGAACAGCTTGATGTATAGCACTTCTCAGGACTTCAGTCCATGGAATTCCAGGACAGATTTGGGTGGTGTCCAGCTCTTTACTTTGACTTGTCCAAGACTGACCATCTGCTGCTGCCGTAATTTATAGACGGTAGTTTGCATGCGATCTGAAACTACAGATTTTTCCCTATCAAGGAACCCTAACCACCTCATACATACGCACATACTCGCTGTATCTTGTCCAATTTCTCTCATCTTCCTGGGGACCAGCGGCAGCGCCTCCCAGAGCACACACTGTTCTGCAGGCTGGTGTGGGGAGCCTCCGGCCGCCTCTTTTCCATTGTGCTCCATACAGCTTCTTGAGCTTTCCTCCGTTTGTGACTTCTCCTAGGTGTCATGGTCATTCCGAGCTGGTGTCCTTCCCTGAAGGTCAGCTGCAGGCTGCCAGTCCGCGCTCCAGGTCAGCTGGTCAGGGTGCAAGCTTGGAGAGTCCGCCCTTGTAGTAGCCCAGATAGCCTGCAGTTCAGAAAGGTCACTCTTGGTCTTCTACCTCAGCAGTGTGCTGCAGAGGCACGCTGGACTCGGCGTGTCCACCTGCTCCTTGCTGTTGGCTGTCTGCTGTACCCTCCTGCCACACAGTCTTTGACTGCAGCCTTTCCCTTTCAGCGGTCCTGCGCGTGGCTGGTTCCCTGCAGAAGAGCACAGAGGTGATGAAGGCCATGCAGAGCCTTGTGAAGATCCCAGAGATCCAGGCCACCATGAGGGAGCTGTCCAAAGAGATGATGAAGGTGACTTAGGCCAGCCCTGCTTCCCCTCCCAAACCACTGAGAGTCCCTGTCAGCAAGCGGCGGGGGGTGGGGATGGGGTAGGGTGGGGGGCAGTGGGTAGGCTGCAGCTGTTAGAAACGGTTTTGAGGACGGACAAGCAGCTGTTAACACTGGTTGAAATCTAATGAGCTGAGCATGGCAGAGATTGGATCAGATTGCCAGAGTATTTCTTAAAAGAAGCAAAAATATGCCAGAACTCTAAGGGAGGAAGGGGATCCAGGGAGCAGCTGTTTAAAGTTCAAGCAGATAGAGTTTGCAGGCTCCAGCATGAGCAAAAGACAAAAGAAACCCTGGTTCTACCATCTGCTCCTCGAGAATGTTGGCGGGGTTCACTCTGGACCAGGCGTTGGTGCACATTTGCTGTAAAAGGCTGGATAATAAATGTATTTTATGCTTTGTGGGCTGTACATCTGCTGCCTCAACTCTGTCGTGTAGCATAAAAGCAGTCATAGGTAATAGGTAAGCAAGTCAGTGTGATATAGTCCAGCAAAACTATTGACGAAAGCAGTAGCTGACCAGATTTGGCACCCAGACTGTGGTTTGCTGACTCGTGTTTTAGACTGAAAAGAGGAGAGGTTGAGAACCAAACAGAAAGTACATAAATACCTGCCATCCACAGGATCAGGGCCTGGCAAGCACCTGTCCATTCTGGTGACCTTCAGACAGGGACAGGGTGAGGAGGACCTTGGCACTTGAGCCCCCACAGCTGCTGGTGCATTGTGCATGCTCCTGCCCAGTTCCCCCACCCGCCCAGTGGAGGTAGGCATTTGTATCCCCTTTTTATGCAGAAGGAAATTGAGTAAACTTACCTAAAGTCATCTCAGTCATAAGTGCAGCACTGGAGTTGGAGCACAGGTGTCCTAAAGCCTTGCCACCTTGGTGACAGTAGAGGAAGTGGTGATGGCAGGTCCCTGGTACAGGTGCTTTTTGTACTGCAAACCTGTGGCCTGGCAACCAAGAGTACACCTCATTTTTTTTTTTTTTTTAAAGATTTATTTATTTATTTGAAAGACAGAGAGTTAGAGAAGTTTTACATCTGCTGGTTCATGCCCCAAATGGCTGCAACGGCCAGAGCTGGGCCAGGCTCAGCCAGGAGCTTCTTCAGGGTCTCCCACATGGGTGCAGGGGCCCAAGGACTTGAGCCATCTTCCACTGCTTTCCAGGCCCTAGCAGAGAGCTGGATTGGAAGCGGAGCAGCTGGGACTCGAACTGGTGTCCACATGGGATGCCAGCACTGCAGGCAGCAGCTTTACCCGCTATGCCACAGCACTGGCCCCCACCCCAGATTCTTGTATAGGGTTTGTGTGTGGAAGGTGCCTGCCTTCTCCCTGGGGAATTTGTGCCTTGAATTGTATCCAGGGTCATGGAGCCATGGGACAAAGGGGCTGGAGAAGAAAATTGATGGACAAGAAAGGGCCCAGGATGGGCATCTGGCCTGGTGGTTAAGATGCCAGCGTCATGTCAGGAGTGACTGGGTTTGAGTCTCAGCTCTGCTCCTGTGTCCAGCTTCTTGCTGGTGCAGACCTGGGAGGCAGTAGTGATGGCTCAACAGTTGGGTCCCTGCCACCCATGTAGGAGACCACAGTTGAGTTCCTGGTTCTCAGCCTTGACCTGACCCAGCCCTGGCCATTGCAGGCATTTGTGGAGTGAGCCTGTAGATGAGGAGCTCTGCCTCTAAAATAAAAATAAGAATTACAAGTAAATAAATACAAGCCCAGGGCCCAGGCCTTGGGAATGAGGGATTTGGGGGCAGTAGCAGTTAGAAGGGTCTGTCCCTGAAAATGGTGTGTGGCTGTCTTGCCTGCAAGATGGTGATGATTGTTTATGTAGAGCTAGCTAACAAGGCACATCTTAGAGTTACTTCGGGCGTGCTTATTATAACTCGTACCGTCACTGAGCTCTGAAGGGAAGGCATTTTTAGAATCTGGGTTCCTTTTCACAGTGGCTTCTGAATCCTGAAAGCAATACAGAGTTGGAGGCAGGCTTACACATAGTAGATAGTGTTTATGAATGCAGCTAGTGACGCCTCCCCAGGTGTATCCTGAAGCCCCTGTGGGAGCCCAGCTCCCCTAGAGTGGGGACGTGGTCTGTCTTCCGCTCTATCCCCAGAGCCTAGTCTGTTGTGTGACACAGAGCAGGAATTGGATGAATGGTTGATGAGTGAGTGACTGACAGCTCTGCCCCTGCACGGTGAGGGCTTTGGTTGGCGGTTTTAGCCAACTAGCCAGTGTGTATTGAACCTTCTCTAGTAGCCCCAGCGCTAAGGTAGCTTCCATTTAACTAGGCCACAGGCCTCCGCCCGGGTGACATGAATGTGCACTTCTTGATTTGTTCGTTGTGGTTGGAGGAAAGGAACTGATAATGGGCAGAATAGGCTGGTAGCTAGATTCAGATCACTCAGGTTCACTGGAGGGGTGTGGGAGCAGAAAGGGGAGATAGGTTGCTTTAAATGTGATTTTGTTGGCATAGTCAATGAGAGTTGGATCCGGGCCGGGTGCAGAGGAGCCAGAGCCCAAGCTGCTGCTGCACGTGACCTTCTAGAAGCTTCTTGACTGATCAGAACATAAGGCACAGAGCAAGGGGCTCATTTCTTTTAGGCTGCACAGTAGCCAGGATTTTACTTCTGGGGCATCTTGGTAGGTGCCTGAAGCCATGTTTCCCTCTGCCCTCCACCAGAGCCACCTGGGCCGTCTGCTTCTGCCCAGCAGCTGGGGCAGCTTTTGCCTTGACAGTGCAAGGCGCCGTTCTGACTCTTAGCTTTGAAAGCAGAGAACGCTGTACACCACACTGCATAGCAGGACGACTGAGGAGAGTGGCCGTGAGGGGCCAGTGTTAGCCGTTGGCTCGTGCCCTGCCGAGGCGCCGAGCTCTGTGAGAACAGAGGGTGCTGGCTGCTCCAAGCTGCCAGGCCCGGGCTTTGGTAAAGTGTCTACCTCGTCGTGTCAGAGCACTGTCTCGATTCTCTCAGGAGTGGGTGATCAGACTCTGGTGAGCCGTTCAGTCCCTGCAGACCCACCAGGGGAACCCTGTGCCCGCGGTGGTGACCTGGGCATCATGGAGGATCTTCAGGCCTTTCCCGATTCCCAGCCTGCTCTTGTCTCTTACCATGTTTCACACCATGTGCAGCCCCTGCGTTCACAAATTCTGGCTGTAATGTTAGGGCAGACGCTTTCTGCAACAGCTCTGTCACTTTTGAAAGCACAGACGATCAGGAGAAATGGAGGAGGCGCAGAGATGGAAATTGACAGGAAAACATGGTTCAGGCTTCTGAGAAGATGCCCCAGAAGTAAAATCCTGACTGCTGTGCAGCCTAAAGGAAATGAGCCCCTTGCTCTGTGCCTTATGTTCTGATCAGTCAAGAAGCTTCTAGAAGGTCACGTGCAGCAGCAGCTTGGGCTCTGGCTCCTCTGCACCCGGCCCGGATCCAACTCTCACTGACTATGCCAACAAAATCTTGCACTCTGGCAGCAAGTTCCCAGGGGCTACCTCTGTGGCCTGGGTGACTTTGGGAGAGCACTCCCAGCCTCAGTGCTGTGTTCCGAGAGCTGCTTCCCCATGGGCCTGGGCCTCTGTGCAGGCACACACCATCCGTGTTTCCTGGGCAGCTGTCCCGCAGCTCGGCCCTCGGGAGGATGGACTGCACTTGAGAGACTGTCGCGAGCTCTCTGAGGGAGACGGCTTCCCAGCTGAGTGAAGTGACTTGTTCTGTGCATAGGCTGGGATCATAGAAGAAATGCTGGAGGACACTTTTGAAAGCATGGATGATCAGGAAGAAATGGAAGAGGCGGCAGAGATGGAAATTGACAGAATTCTGTTTGAAATCACAGCAGGTATGACCGTGAGGTTGATCCTCTTTACGCTCCTGTATTCGCCAAAGTTGCTGGCAGCTCACTCTGAAAGCTTGTCACTCCCTTCTGTGGTTAAGTTTTAGAGATACAAGTTATCTCTTGGAAAACTAAGCACAATTTCTATGACCATCTTTAAAAAACAAAGTTTTTAAATTTCTAGAGTTTTCAAAAATTGTTAAGGGGAGAAATTGCTCTGATTACTGCTGTTGGGGAATTTAAATTGATGTAGGTTTTCTTGAAAGTAGTTTGGCAGTAGCTGTCGAAAGCTCTTGTCCTAGGAGATTAAATTCTGGGAGCTGACACTAATGAAGTTAAAGATGTGCTGAAAGAATTAACTCGGGTTATCTGAGGAATGCTTATTTATGGTACTGAAAAGTTCTAAAGAAGCTAAATACCCAGTAACTGAAAATTGGTTAAGTCAGTTGTATTATGTCTTACTTTAATAGACTACTATGTTGTGATAGGTGGCTACAGAAATATATTCACTGACACAGGAAGATGGTCACAGTTTATTATGTGAAAGTAGCCTTGTTACTAAAATCATCTGTGTCAAACATGCCTGTAGAAAAAGTGAAAGGATAAATCAAAATAGTTATCTCTGGGTGGTGATTAATGTGTTTTTAAGCTTTATTTTTACTCACGGATTTTCTGAACTTCCATAAGAAAAAGGTGAGATTTAATTTTTCTTCCTTTGGTGAAGTTGTTAGGAGAAAGAATAGCTACTCCAAGAAACTATTTTGTGAAGACTTAGGAACAGTTAATTCAGAGAGAAGATTTCGAGTTTGCGTTGTAGGGCTCAGGAATTTGCTCTAGGGGCTTGGGAACCAAGATTCTTCCAGTACATATGGTGAGGATCGGTGGGACTTTGTTGTCATGACAAGTTGCAGAGACCAGAACCCCACCCTGCCTGCCTGCCGCCCTCTCCCGTCGCTGTGCTCAGCGCTTGTTGGAGTGGTCCAGGAGCAAGGGACCCCGTGTGAAGCCCATCTGACTGCTCCTCTCTTTCCAGGGGCCTTGGGCAAAGCGCCCAGTAAGGTGACCGACGCCCTGCCAGAGCCCGAGCTCCCAGGAGCAATGGCTGCATCTGAAGACGAGGAGGAGGAGGAGGCCCTGGAGGCCATGCAGTCACGCCTGGCCACACTCCGCAGCTAAGGCCGCCCCACGGGGTGTGCACACTCCCCCGAAGAGCTGCCTCTCTTGTTTCTCTTGCACTGCACCTCTGCCGAGAGGCGTTGCGTTTGGGAGAAGGTTCTCTGCTAGTATCTCCTCGCTCTCTGCAGAGGCTTTGGGGTCCCCACGGGGTTGCCCTTCTCCAGGTGGTGTCATTAAACGCATCTCAGGAGTGAACGGCAGCAGGATCTTCCTGGGGGAAGGCAGAGCAGTCGTTTGCTCATCAAGCACTCTGAGACTGAATGTGGAGGACTCTGTACATTTGTTTAGTCTGTAGAACACTATATAGAGGGACTTTAATAAATTTCTGCTTTGACTCTTGGTCCCATTGTAGCTTGTCGTGTGCAGGTTGTCTCCGCCACTGGCCTAGAGGGGTGAGGGAGTGCTGTGGCCAGGCCCGTGGGCCTCCAGTGCTCAGCACAGGTGACCTCTGCCCCTGCATGCGGTGGGAGCCGCTCCTCCTCCTTTCTGCGTGTTGAGCAAGAGATGCTCGGCAGTTGTGTGCCTTGCCCTGCTTCTCGGGCTCCTGCATTACGTCCTTGGGTGTGTGTGGCTGTATTTACAGCTTTCGTCACTCCTTTCGCATTGGAAGCTGCTCCCAGAACAGACAGCTGTGGGTTTAGATCGGGCTCTTACCCTGTTGGCCTCACCCTGCTTTGAGCTAGTTGTCTTCTACTTGCCTGGGCCCACCCATCAGTGCTTTCTCAGAGTCAGGAGCGGCCCAGTGAGAGGCCAGTGTGGACATGCATCATAAGCAATTCTCTCACACCTGCGACATAGCATTTATGAATAATTCAGCAGCAGCACTCTATACGTGTGTGATGATTTACAGAGCTCTTTGAAGTGCATGATCTTTTTCAGTCTTCACAAATAAGAAAAAGGGCTCTACCTGCTAAAGTGAAAACCCTAACTCATAGTCAGGAGGCAGCGGATGTGGGGTTCAGCCCACATCTCTGTCCAGCCCCTGTGTGTACTAAACTAGCCAGGGAGCAAAAGTGCCCGGCTACTCTCCCACAGGTTGGCTTTTGTAGATTCCGTAGTGAAATCCTGAAACACTCGGCTCCTCCTATTCTCCTCATACAGAATAGCCCTGGTACACCAGAGGGCCTTACTATCAACTTCTGATTTCAGCTTCAGGGTATAGTAGTTGTCCTTCAGCACCTTTTGGTTAAGGTTCACAGCGAAATTAAGCAAGAAGCACAACCACTGCCTTCGGCATCCCCTGCTGGAGTGGCGCGTTTGTTACATTGGAGCCTGCATGGAGTCCACAGTTCACACTGGGATTCTGCCTTGGCGGTGTGCTTTCTGTGGGTTTGCACACATGTATGTGGTACGTATGTACCATGATAGTATCATATGTGTAGTTTTACTACCCTAAACCTCCTCTGTGCTCCATCTGCTGATACCTTCCACTGATCTGGCCTTTTTACTGTCAGCATAGGGTTGCCTTATCTAGAAGGTTGTATATGGAATCATACAGTGTGTAGCCTTTCCAGACTTTTTTCCACTTGGTTATATGCATTTAGGTTTCCTCCTCGTCTTTTCATGGCTTGATACGACTCATTTCCTTCTGGCACCAGATACTGTTCCACTGTCTAGATGTGCCATAATTTAGCATTCCCCTGTGGACATCTTGATTGTTTCCAAGTTTTGACAGTTACGAATAAAGCTGCTCTAAATGTGTGCAGGTTTTGTGTGAAAATAAGTTTTTAATTCATTTAGGTGAATACCAAGTAATGCAATCACAGGATCATATGGTGAGTGTGTATCTGGTTTTACAAAAGACTGCCAGACTGTCTTCCAAAGTGGTTGTACTGTTTGCACTGTACTGTTTGCACTCCCACCAACAATGAATGAGAGTTCTTCCCCCTCCACAATGACACTAGCATTTGGCGCCATGATGTTCTGGATTCTGGCCGTTCTGGTAAGTTTGCAGTGGAACCTCATTGTTCTTTGAATTTGCAGTTGCCTCATGACACAATGTGGAAGGAACATCTGTTCTGGATGTCTTCATTACCGAGGTGTCTGTTCAGGTCTTTTGCCTATTTTCAATTGGGTTGTCTATTTTCTGATTATTGAATTTTAAGTATTTTTTGTATATTTGGGCTAACAGTCCTTAATCAGATGTGTATGTTCAAAATATTTTATGTTTGTGGTTTGCCTTCTAGTTGGCTTGATACAGTATCTCTCACTGAGCAGAAGTTTTTACTTTTAGTTAAATCCATCTTACTCTGTCTTTCATGGATGGTGCTTTTGATGTATTTCAAAGTCATTGCCAAACCCGAGGTTAGTTACCTTTCAGGAGTTAACATTGTACATTTTGCCTTTAGGTCTGTGATACATTTTCAGTTCATTTCTAGGAAGGGTGGTGTAGTTGGAGAATGTGTTGGCTTCCAAACTCAGGATTTCAGGTTGATGGTTCCAGGATTGGAGGAGCTTACAGTTACACTGTTGAGATGGGGCCTAATGGGAGGTCCAAGGCTCACTGGGGGCATGCCCTGGGAAGGTGATTCTGAGGTTATAAAAACTTGAGCTTGGCTCAGTGTCTCTGCCTCCTGGCTCAGTGTGGTCCTTGCTCCACGTGCATGCTACCATTGCCATCCTCTGTCCTCAGGGAAGCCAGACAAACGAGTGGCACCGCCCAGTCTTGGACTTGAACCCCCAGAAACGGGAGCCAGAGTGAACTTCTTTGCATTATAAAGTTAGGCTTTTCCAGGTGTTTATAGGGAAGAAAAGCTGACTGATAGAAAAGATGTTAAGGTCTGTGTGTTTCACGGTCTTTGTATCTGGGTGTCTTTTCTCCATTACATTGCTTTGGCTTGTGTGTCGAGGATCAGTTGACTGTGTGTGGGGGTCTGTGGCTTGGCTGCCTGTTGTGTTCCTTTATTGATTTTCTGTTTTTGCACCCGATGCCACAGCGTTCAGGTGCTAGAGCTGGCTGGTAAGTCTGAGTTGAACAGCGTCCGTCCTTTGACTGTCATCTTCTCTTTCAGGGTTGTGCTGGGTGTCCTGGGTCTTTCGCCTCTGCATTTAAGCTTCAATATCAGTGAGATCCACAACACAACTCGCTGTATTTGTTGTTGTTGTTGTTGTTGGGATTGCGCTGAGTTCATGGATCAAGTTGCTCAGAACCGGCATACTGACAACGATGACATACTGTTTTAGGATTGCATTAATCCAGTCTCGCTAGTTTCTTCACAAAATATTGGGACTATAGGATGCGGGTTTTTGTTCTTATGTGGAGAGTCAAACTGTCCATGTGAACAGCTGGACAGCCAGAATTGATAATGTCAGCCTCTCTTCCACATTCAAATAAGATGACCTAAGCATAGAGTCGATTTGTTTTAATATTTGAAGAGGCCATACCTGTTCCTTTCCCACTTTCAGGCTGAGTAAAACACAGTGGGCTCGTGCCATGTATTAATTTAACCCTCACATACTCTGTGGGGCACCCTTTGAGACAGAGTGGGCCAGGTACTGTCTTAGTGCTACCTAGAAGGCAAAGCGATGGGTGTACAGATCTGCAAGGGAACTCCCTCTTCCTCAGGGGCTCTGCTGGGTCCAGCCGCCCTCTCTCCCTGCTTCACCACAGACCCCAATAAAACCATTCATACATTCCAAGGGCACTTAGAACTATTGTTCCTATCACCAACTCAGTTATGCGTGTGTGTGTTTACACAGAGAAGGGGAGAGAGAGAGCTTCCATCTGCTGGTTCACTCCCCAGATGGCCACAATGGCCAGGGCTGGGCAAGGCAGGAGCGTCTTCCAGGTCTCCTACATGGCTGCAGGGGCTGATGCACTTGGCCCATCCTCCACTGCTTTCCCAGGCACCTTAGCAGGGAACTGGATAGGAAGTAGAGCAGCCGGGACACGAACTGGTGCTGTAAAGGATGCTGGCATCACAGGCTGCGACTTTATCTGCTACACCACAGGGCTGGTGCCCAACCCATTTGATTTTAAATATAGTTACTCTTCAGAAGTCACTTTGTAGCTTGCTGCAGTCACCCTCCAGCTCACTGTGGCTGAGTGTCAGCAGGCCTGCCCTGCCCCAGCCTCCTCTCCCTGCTGAGCACTTGGCGGTTGTAAGCCCTCGCGGCCCTGGGGAGCCCCGTCTTCTTCCCAGGTCCAGAGACGTTCTCAAGACTGCTGGTCACTGCACCTGCCTCTTCCCAACCTTCAACCTGTGACTGCTTATGAGAGTAACTGTGGAAAATAACAGTGGCTTTCATATCTAAAGAACTGGCAGCATTTTTCTTGGGCTACCCTAGTGGCAGGTGCTCTTCAAGTGCTAATCTCTCACCTGTAAGAAAGGATTCTGTGGGGCCGGCACTGTGGCGTAGCGGGTAAAGCTACTGCCTGGAGCGCCGGCATCCCATGTGGGTCCCGGCTGCTCCACTTCCAATCCGTCTCTCTGCTATGGCTTGGGAAAGCAGTAGAGATGGCCCAAGTCCTTGGGCCCCTGCACCTGGCTCCTGGCTTCGAATTGGCGCAGCTCCAGCCATTGTGGCCATCTGGGGAGTGAACCAGCAGATGAAGACCTCTCTTCTCTCTCTGCTTCTCTATAACTCTGCCTTTCAAATAAATAAATCTTTAAATATATAGGGACGTGACAGCAAAATGGTAGAGGAGACTGTTGCAAATGCCCATTCCTCCAGAGAAAACAGATGGAAGCTGGAAACTACTAGAACTCTAGAAAACCCAGGCACACAGCATTCAGGCAAATGCTGAGTTTAAAAAAGAATCTTGAAAATGGTAAGGAAGCTCTTTGGCATTTTTACTTGCCTATTCCTCATACACACACACCCCCACCCTCAGCTCTGCACCTTGAAGCCAGCAGCCCATTTAAACAGTCACCATTGCCTGTCCGGGGACTGGCACGGTGCTCCCGTCTGTGTTGCCTCACTCAGAAAAGCAGTGGACCATACTGGGAAACACTGCGTGACGTGACACACGGGTCCTGCGGCGGCCAGACAGCCGCCGGGCTGTGGAGCAGCATAAAGCCTGGGGAGAATCCTGGAGAGGGGAGACCAGGAGAGCGCTGTGAGCAAAGTGAGCGTTTCAGCGGAAGTACAGATGTGTCACGGAGGAAGTCGGAACCAAACTGTGCAGTCGCGGGAGCGAGGAGCGCCGGAGGGGTCCAGCGGCAGATCTGAGGCGGCGAACCTGAACGCAGCAACCGAAGCGCTCCCGGCCGGAGAAAGGAGGCCGAAGAGTCAGCACAGCCCCGGGGACTGGCGGGGGACGGGCCAGCTCAGCGACAGACACGTCACGGCAGTTCCAGACAGAGGGAGAAAGGGGCCGAGACGTCTGTCTGGTGGCTG